CCTGCTTTTCTCAGAGGCGCTCACTGGCGGGAGGTCTGAGAGCACAGAGCCTGGGCTCCCCTGGGGGCGGTGGGAAGACCGGCTCGGCAGCAGGGAGCCCAGCCCCCGGGTGCCTGAGTGGGCAGAGTCTGGGCGGGGGGGGGCTGCGTGATGCGCCCCCTCCAGCCTCGTGTCGCCCCGTCTCTGCAGCACCACCTCCCAGGCCATCGGCGTGGGGATGCGGATGAACGCAGGGTTCATCGTGCTGAACCACTTCAGCCAGCGCTACGCCAAGATCCCGCTCTTCAGCCCCGACTTCAATGAGAAAGTCGGCATCGCCTTCGACCACATGAAGGTGCGGGACCGCTGGGGCGGGGCACGTGGGGTGGGCGGGGCCGAGACGCCCTCTATCCACGTGGTTAGGCTCGGGCCACTGCCCCGCACGACTGGCACAGGGCCTCTTGGACATAGTCCATTGAGAACCTCTTGGAGGCCCAGTCGGTGCCCAGAGTGACATCATCTGAGCTTCTGCACAAGCCTGCGAGGCAGTGTCCTCCTCCGGTGTGGTCAAGCTGGGCCTGTCCCCACCACTGGGCATCAGGGTGCCCGGCTTCTGCCCGGCTGGGCCTGACATGATGGCTGTTATCTGCCGACGGGGCTGTGGCCGGTGCCTGGGAGCCGTGACGGCCTCACCCCAGCCTCTGCTTCGTCTCGCTTCGTAGGTCAGCCTGGGGGACCTCCCGACGGTGCCCAAGCTGATGACGCCGCTAAAGGCCCTGTTCGCCGGGGACCTGGAGGAGATGGCGGAGCGGCGGGAGCGGAGGGAGCTACGGCAGGTGCGGGCGGCCCTGCTTGCCAGCGGGGACGCGGAGCCCCTGCGGAAACGGGCCTCCGCCGAGCAGCCCCCGAGCCCGCCGAGCAAGAAGGTCAGGGCCCAGTAGCGACGTGGCGCTGCGGAGCCGCTGCCCACTGGAGGCGAGGAGGCCGATGTCGACTCCGTGCTCGCTGCGTCTTCGGTCTGTCATGTGAAGTCAGGGCGCGCAGCCCCCCACCCCCCCCCACCCACAGCCCAGCTGTCCCCTCTGTACCCAGAGGCAGCTGGGCCCCAGGAGCGCGGGGCTGTGGACGTGAAGCCTCCAGGAAAAGCGTCTCCGAGGACGGAACACAGTGAATGTGGCGTGTGGAACCCGAGTGCTTTGGCCCTGTGCCACCGCTGGGGACCCAGGGTTCCTGGAAACAGTTTGATCGTGGCCAGGCCCTTTGGGACCTGTCCCCAGGGAGACACCACACCGCAGCAGCCTGGATTTTTGGCAGAAGTCAAGTTGTGCAGACTCACAGCCGTGGTAGGCCGGGCCCGGCCATGCAGGGGCTCCAGGGAAACGCAAGCCTTCCCGTTGTTCTGGCGAAGGAGGAGGCCGGTTGCTTGCTTGCCCCTGATGAGAACCACTCACCGCCCTAGAGTGCTCAGAAATACCGCGTGGGGTGGCTCCAGTGCCCCCCTTTTTGAGGATGAACAACACTGAGGTTAGTGTTTTTGTTTGAAAAGTGAGAGAATTTTAAAAGAAAGATGCATCTAGCATTTGCATATTCTTCCCTCCCGGGAGCCTAGGGAAGGAGCTTTAAAGTTTCAGGTGCTGGGAGACGCAGACCAAGGACCGGACTTGCTGTGACCTCGGGGTCCCTCCCGAGGCAGCGCCTGGCATCAACTCCCGTGGCCCCTTGAGCTTGTTATTAAAACAACAAGAAAAGGTCACACTCAGGGATAATAAATCTATTTTAATAACGTTACCAGTGACGACTATTTGTACATGTATTTAAAGGTAACTAACTTTCAACCACCACCCCCCCCACCGGGCCTCATTACAAATTGGGTACGGAACTGCCCTGCTAGCAAGCGAGCAAAGCCGTTAAACGTCAAAAGTTTGCAAATCCCACTGTCGGAGGAGGGTTATTTTACATTTTGTGGGGAAAAATAAATAAGCATTTAAGTTTCTCATTGTACACCTGTACATGGATTTGGAGTGAATGGCTCAAATTAAACAAATATAGATTTCCTATATACAAATATTATTATATCCTGTATAGGTGTGTCTATTTTAAAAGGATAAAACTGTGAGGTTGGGCTTTGCATGCATGACCCGAATCTATTTCTCACTCTCTCCATCCCAGCTGTGACCAGGCTCCCCGGGTCTCCTCCCTGAGGGCGGGGGCGGGGGGGGGCTTCACGGGGAGGGTGAGCAAGGCTCTCCACGCTGCAGGGCCGAGGGCACAGGCCTGGGGTCTCCGCGGGCTGTTTTCCCCTTCCTGTCTGAGCTTTGGGTAACAGGATTATTGCTATTCACCTGGGACCTCCAGAAAGAGGCGACCCCACATCTCCGTGCCCTGGATGCCCCGATGCTCCTGGGCGGCTGCACTTAGCTACACCTACTGTTGGCGGCGGGGAAGGGGGGGTGGCCTGGGGAGCTACCTTAGGACCCTCCAGGCACGCTCAAGGTCATTTTTTAAATTCAGAAATAGAAAACCATAAGATAGGAAAGGGAGCTCAGTCCACGGCGTGGAGAAGTAACTGTCAGCTGTCGTCTTTAGCCGTTACCTGTAGAGCCCACGGATGAGGGTTCGCCCTCCCCTGTGAAGCAGCAGGCCGGTCAGGGCCCCGGGCTTCTTGGCTCCTGTAAGCAAGCCCCCCACCCCGTCCCCGCTCTGTACCATCAGGCTGGTCTCGCAGGACTTGCCGCGGCCGTCAGCTCAGGCGACAGGCAGCCGGGGTGGACCGGCCGCTGGGCCCTCCACACCCCACCCCGTGGAGGACGTTTCTGAGACACAGGCCCTTGGGTGGACGGGGCTGTCACTTGGCGTGGAGGCTGAAAGGGGGTCAAAATAGGCACAAAGTCGAAAGGCAAAGATCAAACAAAAGGCCAGAGTCCCCACCCGGAGGGAACGCACAAAATCCGCGCGGCCGACACCTGCCACACGGGTGTCCGCCACGCTCCAGCCTCGCGGCGGCCGTGACGGCGCGGAGCCGCGGGAACACGCGTGTGGCGGCGCCGCTCAGAGGGCCGTGCTCTCCGACTCCGCCGGGTCCCTCTTCTCAGCCACTGAGCGCCGCCGCACGAGCTCCCGGGGACCGAGGCGCAGCGCTGAGCCCAGCTCCACGTGGATGGAGGGGACGTCCAAGTGGACCAGATCTGGAAGGCGGCAGAGAGAGGCACTGAGGGGGCTGCCCGCCCCCGAGCCGTGGCTGGCGGGCAAGACGGCGCGAGGAGCGGGCAGGGCTTCGGTCACGGAAGGGCCAGCGCGTCTGGGGGCCGCCGTGGCACCCACCACATGGCGGGCGCAGGGCAGGGCCGGCCTGCTTTGCCTGTGGACCCTGTGGACCCAGACGTGCAGATCCTGTCCGTGGGCCAGCTTGACACTTACACCCATAAAAGAAGGATACTCCTGGTTGGGTCTCGGTGACACCTTCCGGGGAATTTCAGGGCTGCCTTTGGTTCCCTAAAGTCTGCGGGGTTAGGGTTATAGGCTGGGGAGACAGCCTTCCCCCAGGTGTGTGAATGAGTGGGGGGGGACCTCACTCAAGACCACGAATGGTACCCTTGGGGTGGCTGGTGGAGGCAGGGCAGGGTCCCCCCTCAGGACCCCAGAGGTAAGGGGAGTAAACTGCTCCCTGACTGTGGGCACCCCGCCACCCCGACACTAGGAAAACCACTCACCTCCAGTCACACCCCTACTGGGGGCATTTAAGGGTCACTTCCTGGGAGATGCTCAGGAGGAAGGTCCCTGAGGCAACAGGCTCGGCAGTCTGTCCAGACCTCAGCTGGCAGCTCAGTGCGGGCCAGGCCACGGGGCTGCGGGGCCTGGAGGGGCGGCCGCCCCCAGGCGGGCACCGGACAGCCGCTCCCTGACTCCTTGGGGGCCGCAGGGCGCTAAGGAGACCCTGGCATCCTTTGCTCAGGCCTGTTACTCCCTCCCAGGCCTGCTCAGCCTCTGGCCTCCACACAGCCTCGCTGTCCCCGGGCAGCGAGGCTGTCCCCGGACCGAGGACCGAGGACACGCAGCTGGATGGGGAGCGGCCCTGGGCCAGACAGGGTGGGGCACCCCGGTTTCTGTAAAGTGAACATTCCGCCCAAGGAGGACCATCGCAAGCGGAGAGACAGACGTTCAGACACTGTCCTCAAAGACACACAAACGTGGACGCTCTGGGACAAAGGTTCTTCTCTCTCCACCCAGCCCCCAAAAGGTGCCCCCGCCTGACGGAGCAGAGCCTGGGGGTCTGCCGGTGCCTCACCGCCGGCCTGGAAGGGCAGCACAAGCCCCGGGGCTTGGATTCTGGATTCAAAGTTCCGTCCCTGTCGCCAGGGGAGCGTAACCCCGGGCAGTTTCCTACCCTGTCTCGGCCTCAGCAGTCGCTGGGGGGATAACAGGCAGGAAGGTGCCTGCAGGTGAAGCAGGTGAAGGGGATGTGCAGCCCCGAGGCGAGCTGCCCAGCTGCCATCCTGGCCGCTCCCTTGGACACCTGAGCCAGAAGGCGACTCGGGTAGCCTAAGCTTGGGGCAGGGAGAGGGCCCACTGGCTGCCGGGAAAGGGGAGGCCTGTCTCTGTGACAGAGGCCCCAGAAGGGCCTGTCCCCGGGCCCGTGTGGGCGCCGGACGCCCTGGAGCTGTTTCTCTCAGGGGTCTGCAGCCCGCAGCTCAGCAGCTTCCCTGGGGGGACTGGGGGGGGGGACTGGGGGGGACCCTCCCCTGCTTTGCTCTGGCTGCCCCTTTCTGACTGAGGCCAAGACACTTGCTTCCTCCGGCTTCCTTCCTGTTCTTGCCTTAGTTTTCCTTTGGAGCATCTACTCCTTACAGGAGGAGACCAGGCAGAAACTGGTAACAAAGGCTCTCAGAGTATTTCACTGAGTGGGACAGAAAGGCCCTGGCTGGCTCTATACACTGGGGAAAAACAGCTCAGGATAAATTCCAGAACGAACACTACGGACTCTTCAGGATTTGCCAACCGTCCTAGCCGGAGCTCAGGCTCCAGGCCCCGCGGTGGAGGATGCGGCCATGGCAGCGGGCGGGTCCGTCCCCGGGGGCCCTTCCCTGAACCAGGGGTGCACATGCATCTCCCCGACACTGGGCACCTGTCTGTAGCAGTGACACAAGGACACACGGGATGAGGGACAGGGCTGTCACCCCCTCAATCTAAACCAAAATGGGCGGGGGGGCAGCTGGGATTAGGTGACTGGCCAGAGAAGGGGAGGGAGGCCTGTTTCTCCCCCTCTCCTCAGAAAAGAAAGGAGGAGGCCACTGAGCCCCAAGGCCGCGGAGGCTGCCGTGCAGGTCGGGGTGCATGCAGAGCGCGGGGCTGCGGCCTGGCTGCGAGCAGAGGGGCGAGGCCGGGGCCGCTTACCCTGGAATCCCCCTCACGTATCCACAACTGCGGCCCCCGTGTCACACAGCTGCGAGGACACAGCGACAGGATTCAGAGAAAGGAATAAATACGATGAGACGAATGGAACACGGACCACGCCCAGCATCACAGTCAGACGGACCACAGTAAGCCATCACCGACCACGCGGCTCAGACCCCAGCCCGCCCTGCGGGACTACGGGCCAGGCTGCCGCCGCCAGAGGACATCGGGACAGGACAGACGGGGCACGAGATGACTACTAAAGGGCAGAAGCTCTGAGCCGGGCAGGAGGGAAGGGGGCCGTCACACCTCCCCAGGGCCCCTCCCATCAATCAAGGGCTCCTCTAGAACCACCAGCGGGAAGTGGTGCTCACTGGTTAGAACTTTTCCTTAGCTTTTTGTAAGCCTCAGGGTGGATGGAGCAGCTGGACCTGCACCGTTTATCACAGCAAAGATAAAGCAGCCGCATCACCGGTCAGCCTCTCGGCACAGTGTGTGCCTCTGCCCCACTGTGCATGCACGCCGGGCTGGCCCTTCCTGCGCAGCGAGGCGCTAAGCCCGCAGGCTCACCTCCCACCTGATCGAGGGGAAAACGGCCCACCTGGAGAGGGAAGTGGCGGCAAAAGCATGACCCTTTACAAGTCCCAGGGCACCCAGGACCCAGGGCCAAACTGCTCTCTCTCTCTCTCTCTCTCTCTCTCTCTCTCTCTCTCTCTCTCTCTCTCTCGAGAGAGAGAGAGAGAGAGAGAGAGAGAGTGTGTGAGTGTGTGTGTGTGTGTGTGTGTGTGTGTGTGTGGTGTGTGTGTTATGCTTACACACTTTCCTGGAGGAAAACAGCTCGTCTTTGACTTTAAATTTAAAGCAAAACTAAATTTAGTCCTCGCGGGCTTCTCCAACCAGGGGGCAGCATCTTTTCTGAAACTGACCCCTTTCTAATCACGTATTGCTAGAAAAAGTTTTCTAATAAGGCTTCTTTAGCAAAGAGGGAAAAAACAGCCTCTGCTCTGCCATCACAATCCAGCCCCCGCTGCAGCAGCCCCTCGAAGGACGCAGGGTGCTCAGCCCCCAGGTGAAGAGTCGGACCAGAACCCTGGGCTGGCGGGTGTTCAGCTGGGAGAAATCCCCCAGGGAGCCCCCTCCCCGCAGGACAACCGGCCACCAGGGCTTTCCACGGCCTCACGGGGGCTTCTAAGGAGACCAGCCCGGGTGCCACACGCGTGGCACAGCAGGGCCATCCCTGGCAAGCAGGGTGCACTAAGGCTCACGGAGACGCTGCACGCGCGGCGGTTACCTGTGGACATGCTCTCCCCGGGGGACACACCGTCCAGCGCGGGTTGCTCAGCAGACTGTGGGCTGGAGGCTGTGAGGCTGACGGCGGGCGGCTCGGGGGGCGGCAGGGTGGGCCTCTGCCGGGGCTTCGGGGTGGGCCGCGACTTGCTGAGAGCGCCCACGAAGCCGGAGGGGGAGGCCAGCGGGGGCGCCGTGGCCGCCGGGGAGAGCTGGCCCGAGGCCAGGGAGTACCCCGGGGGGCAGCTCAGTCCGTAGGGTGATGGGGTGCTGGGGGGCGTGGGGGACAGGCTGAGTGGGGACGGCTGGCCGGCAGGCGGCTCAGGCAGGGACCCTGGCTGGCCAAAGGGGACCTTGGGCGGAATGGGTGCCAGCTTCTTGGAAACTGAAAGAGGAAGCATAGAACACGGGGTTCAGTGACACCCATCATCCCTGTGGCTGTCAGCAAGCGCCCCCCCACCCCCGCCCCCAGTTCCTGCCACACTGAGAGCAGCCAACACCGTTTCTTAAAATTCACCTAGAACTGCATATCCGCCCATCTGTTCACTAATTTCTCCTCCTCTCCCCTGGATTCCTGCTATGATGAGCACACACACCCCCAGCCAAACGGGAGAACACATTTCCCATGCCCAGGCCGTGGCTGAGTTCCCAGGGTCCTCCCATCACTTCCAAGTGGTGCACCTAACGGGGGCTCCGAGGACGGAGGAGTCTGGGATGCAGCATCCAGGACGGGACGACTAGAGATCAGCTTGCGGCAGGGGATCCTGGACAGAGCAACCATCCTCGGGGCGGGAAGCTCTGACTTTTGGCTGAACCTGCCCAATGGCTCTGGGATCCCGTTAACAGCGACCTATGACCAAGTCCTCTGGCCACAGAGGCCCAGAGCCTCCATCACGCTGCCTGTCTTTCCCTGTGCTTCCCCTCAGTCCTATGGACTTGCCTCAGAGGTGTTTTCCCTTCAAGAACCCTGGGTGTGGACGTGTACAGACCTGCACTGTTTGTTCTAAGTGCATCACTGCCCCAACCCCTCTGCACTGCTTTCATTCCCCTCTTTTTATTTAGTTAGTCATGCTAAAGGGTGACAAACACATTATGCCTTTAAATGGAAAGGAACTGGCAAGGCTGACAAATTCTAATATTTAGAAGATCCCTTGGTGGACAAATGTCTCGAGAAAGTGATCACTCATCTATCAGATTGAGGGCTGGCTGTGGGTAGCACTTACTCTCGAGGAAACTGTCTTTTTAAGCCCTCAAGGAGGCATCTCTCGAGGAAACTGTCTTTTTAAGCCCTCAAGGAGGCATCGTTCTTCCCCCTACTCCCCCCCCCCCGCCCCCCGACGGAACAGAATCTATTCCAACGATGCCGCGTGCACCTCCCTGGCTCCTTGCGCGGTGCGGAAAAGTAAGGGTCCCGCTCTCCTGCGTCCCATCAACTTGGGTTCAAATTCCTAGCCCGTCTCACCTGCTGCAAGTTGGGGGGTTTTATTTAAACCTCTTGTATGGGGCTTCCCTGGTGGCACAGTGGTTGAGAATCTGTTTGCCAATGCAGGGGACACAGGCCCGAGCCCTGGTCCGGGAAGATCCCACATGCCGTGGGGCAACTCAGCCCGCGCACCGCAACTACTGAGCCTGCGCTCTAGAGCCCACGAGCCACAACTACTGAGCGCACGTGCCACAACTACTGAAGCCTGCAGGCCTAGAGCCTGTGCTCCACAACGAGAAGCCACCTCAATGCGAAGCCCGCGCACCGCAACGAAGAGTAGCCCCCGCTCGCTGCAACTAGAGAAAGCCCGCGCACAGCAACGAAGACCCAACGCAGCCAAAAATAAATTTTTTAAAAATAATAAATAAATAAATAAAATAAACCTTTTGTATGCACTGGAAAGAATCACATTTCCTCCACAGTACTGTAATAATTACATGGGATCATGTATGTCAAGCACCACACAGTCATGACTTAAAACCACTTTTCAGCCCTACTGGCTGACGCAGGCATTCCATGTTTCTCCTCCAGTGGAGACTCTAGGGGTCAGTGCTTGAACACGTCTTCCCCGAGGGAGACGGAGGATGCAGTGACATCACCGTGATGTCTGTGGTGACATCTACCACCCCAGGTAGGGACAGGCCTAGGTCATGATGCAAGACTGTAGGCACATCGTCAAAAGCCTGAGGGGGTACAGAACAAAACTCAGTGTGCCATTTGTGGGCAATGGTGTGCCTTTCAAATGGTGGTGCTGAGCTGCTGAACGTCACCTGGGAAACCCCTGCCTGGGTGCAATGGGCTGTGAAGAACGAGAGGGCCAATGTCCCACTGGCTTTGGGGAGACGCGTGGCCTGGAGCCCGGACCCCGCTGGACAGAAGAACAGCCTAGTCATCACCCTGCCCTGCGCAGCTGGGGGAGGGTTAAAAGCCGTGTAAACTAAGACAGCCAGAGAATTCCATCAGGACCGCAAGGGAAACGTGTTACTGCTGGCTAAAGCCCTGGCATGCTCAAATCCCTCCACTGCCACTTTGGCCAACCTCCTGTGTTGCAAGGTGCCCTCACATGACCCTCGGTGTCCTGAGCTCACCACAGGCGGTCCAGCAGGAACACCCTTGTACTATGTACGGTTCCACGTTCACCTGTCTGCAGAGGCCACGTCTGCTGCTCTGTTAGAGCCTCGGGGCTCTCTACACGTAGCAGAGGCTCAACAAACATTTGTAGGGCGTATAAGGGATGAATGGGGGTGAGCAAGATGGAAGGGCTGGGAGAGGGCAGGCTCGGATGATGGGCTCACACAGCAGCCCGCAGCCGGGAGGGGCCCTGTGTCAGGATAAGGAGAACCAGCCCGGTCCCACGTCCCGGAGCTAAAGGCTCTCCTAGAAGCTGGACAGGCCTGAACTGAGAACAAATCAGACAATGTGCTGTTTTAAGCACCTGACAGACTTCGTGATGACAGAAGGTGGAAAAAAAAAAGGTGGCTCTGATTAACACACGTTCCATGCAGCCCCCCATTTACGAGATATCACCATGGGGCTATCATAACGGGGCCTTTTGCAGTGGGTTTCAGTGGCAGGAATCTGGGGTGGGCGGCTCATGGGCCAGTGGACAAATGCTCAGGCCTCCACTAAAGAAATATCAAAGGGCAGGCCTCCTGCAGAAACAGTCTCAATTCCGCCTCTGTGTCCCCTTGTACAAATAATCCAGGGGCAGGCAGCTGGGCTGGACCCCAGCTGGGGCAGGGGCTCCTGGGGAAGACTCCACACTGCATTTTAAATGGTGGTGGGAAGCCTGGCAGAGTCGATGAAGACACGTGTCATCCTGGGCGATGATTCTGCAGAAAGGTCCCGGTGGACGGGAAGCAGAGCCCCGTGTCTGCCCCCGCCACACCCCCGAGCCCACTGTTCAAATGAGTAGACCGAGGAATAACGATGCAACGACCCCTCTTGGGGTTGGCTAACTCCCCAAAGCTCTCATGCGCAGTAATTTTTCATGAAACCAGTTTCTAAATCTCTGTGAGAATGGAGGAAAATGTTTCCAGGAGGTGTGACAGCTCTCTGGCCTGAGCCCCCCAAGCCCCCCGAGCCGGCGGCAGTGACATACCCTTCCGGAGGGTGTGAGGACTCTGGTCTGCGGGCAGCTGGCTGGGGCTGGCGCCCGGCTGCATCCCGGGCTGCATCGCTGCACTGGGCGTCCCCTGGCTGGAACCTGGACTTCCTTTCTGCCCAGATCCTGGAGAAAGTTCCTTGCTTTTAGAAGTGCTGAAACACAGGACAAAAGAAAGCCCCTGAGCTCAGGTAACTTCCGCATCAGCGCTGTGAACTGAATACATGTTCCTCCAGGCAGGTACGGTCCTCTCAGCCCTTCTGAAAGCCTTCAAAGATGCCCACGGAGGTGACCGTCCTCTCTTGGGGCTCTGAGGGCCTGGGTTCCACCCTCATCCCCATGTGGCACCCGTGGCCAGCTCCCTCTCCTGGCCTCTACTCTCTCTCCAGCAGGAGACCATCCCAGCAAGTCGCCAATTTGTCCATTTCCTCTGCCGACCATCAGCCGCTGCTTCCTGCTAACTCCCTCTCCCCTCCCACATCCCTCAAATGAAACTGAAGCCCACGAGTCCCGGCCGGAGCTGGCGACCCCTCGTCCTCTCCAGTGGAGCCATCAGCAACCGCGCCATCCAGGGTCGCTACCCTCCCCCCGCAACTCTGCTTGTCACTTCCCCATTTCTCAGGGAAAATACCTTCTACTCATTAAAAAACAAACAAACAAACAAAACCCTGCAATCCCTTCACTTAGGGGGTTGGTTTGTGTGTGTGTGTGTGTGTGTGTGTGTGTGTGTGTGTCTGCGTGTATGTGTGTCTGTGTGTGTGTCTGTGTGTGTGCGCACACGCGCACATGCGAAGACTGGCTTGAGAGGTTTGGCCTCCCGGAGTCTCCAAAGTGTTTTCAGCAGTGGCCATGGAGGGATACTGCGCACCCTAACAGAACGCACAGTGCCTCTGAGTGAAGGAGCTTTCCTGCTTCTCTGAACTGCTGCTTTAGGGACAGACAGAAACAAACGGCAAAGCAGTCTCCTGTGCAATCCCCACTCCTAGAATCTCCTCTGACCACGTCCCTTTCAAGGAAGGGCCAGGGACGGCCTCCTTCCCCCGCCCCCCTGGGTACGAACGACCACGTGCCGTGACGTGTGCCTTGACCGCTCAGATTGCGTTTTTCATCTTTGGAGCGACAAGGGCTGCCCTGCACAAAAGTTCATGGAACTAGCGCTGGAATGAGCGTGCTCCCCGTCTTTTCTCTGCCTCTGCAAGAACGAGATGCAGTCACACCACAGGCTGCAAAGGCCACCAGGCCCAGCATGACCGCGGCACCTCCATTCCTTAGCTGGTTTGCACCCATTTTAGCAGTAAAATGGTCCCTATGCGTCTAAAGGTAGAGGAGGGGAAGGGAGAAACAGTGAGATTCTAAACTTCAAAACAGAGAAGCTGTAATAGCGTAGGAGGCGGACAAAGGCAGCTGGGGACTCCGATCCCGCGCCTGGCCTTAGCAAGCTGCCACCTTACCCGTGTGCCTGGGATGCTGTTCTGGGAAAGCCTGGGCTCCATCTGATGATAATCCAGGGGTCTGCGAATGCCTTACCTGCTGCAGAAGCCAAACCAGGATGCCGAGAAAAGGGGGGAAATGACCAACTCCAAGAGGCTTTGAGTGTATGCAGCAAACCCAGACCAGCACTGCGGTCAGTGCACCGCAGGCCAGACTGACCCAGGCCGGGGGGGTTGGTGGGGGGAGGACGACAGCGCCCTGCTTACCTGATCCGCTCAGCCCCGGGCTGGAGGCCGAGGCCGGATGGAGAGAGCGCGGGCACCGCGGGGCCGTCGGGGGGCTGCTCCGGGAGGGGCGACGGCAAGGGCGGGGCGAGCTCCGTGGATGGGGCTGGGGGCTGCATGGTGGGCGGGGCGCAGGACGCCTTCCGGCCGGCCGAGGAGCCTCTTCGAGCCACCCACGACGTGTCCATGACCCTCACGCCCATGCTGGCCAGGGACAGAGAGACCCAGGCTTAGCCGCGCGCGCCGGGCGCCGGGCGCCGGGGTTCCCTCCCCCACCAAGCGCCCCGCAGCGCAGCCCGAGCATCTCCTGGACCAGGGAAGCGAGGCAGCTGCCAGCCGTGCTCCACGGACAGAGGTGCTTGAGCATCCCGGCAGCTCCGGGCGGGGCTCCCACCAGCGGCCCGGGCACCGCCGGCCTTAGGACCACTGCCCGCCCAACAAGCTCCCCAGAATCCAAGCTTCCCTCAGAGCAGAGAGCGGCCTCACTGGGGGGCACCCACTCCTCCCAAGTGGGAGGTGGAGGCGGGCGGGACAGCGAGGGAGGGGCAGCATCAGACCACAACAGGGCACCAGCCAGTAGGGGACATCTAAACATCCATCTTTCTTCTTTTTGCCACTTGGGGATAGAGAGCACGGGACAGACTCGGGATTCTTGCGCCAGCCCCAGGGTGCTGGCTGAGCTACAACCTCCGCAGGGTCTACACAGCGGGGAAGGGCTGATCATGCCTCTGGTCAGTCCCCACCCCGACTCCATTTTAACGAGGGGAAGACAGACAGCTTTGAGTAAATCGGCCAAAGCAACCAGCCGCACACATTCACCCCCTTGCAGAGCTCCCTAAGGCATAGCTCGCTTAGTGGTCAGAGACTGAGCGTGGCCTCGTAGCTACCCAAGGATACCGTACCTTTGGATTTTCCTAAGGCTGCAGGGACAGAAACATACAGATATTAGTGTCGAAAAAACTGTGCCCTCCTTGGGACACACAGCTTGTCCCTTTCAAGGTCTGTCTTGTCTCTTGTGTCTGTCAAGGCTAAGCCTGGGGCTTTTTACGGTGCCATGAACTTGTTTCAGTTTAGCTGGTCTCTCTAGTTAAAGTGACTTTTCTGTTTGTATGGGTGAAAAATCATCCTACCAAGCTTGCAGGGGAATAAAGAGAGAAGCCAAAGAGCTGACACTGGTCAGGAATAAGGGAGGAAAAAAATCCGTGGAAGCGGCAGTCCGCTCTCTTCCCAGTTAATGATTTAGAAGGTGGTTAATGCCTTCCTCGGGTCCAGGAGGTAACTGGTTCCACGGTCCGCAGTCGAGGCCTTCACTGACTGAGGCCAGAGCCAATCCTTCCAGTATTAAGGCAGACACGGACGTTCACACAGGAAGAACACCAGCCAGCACCAGTCTCCCCTGCGTATGTGCACAGAGGGTCGTACTCACACCCACGCTGGTCAGAAGCAAAGAGCTGTTACACCATGACATTCTAGCCACCTCACAGAGGGGCAGCAAGATTCAAAGAAAAGGTCCACGTTTGGGGGTCGGTTGTAGCAGGTGGGATGTGGGTCCTTTAAGGAAATGTGCGGGGACGGACCCTCCGTGAGGCGCACAGAGGAGAACGATGCTACAGCCGCGCACACAGGGGACAGACGGCTTCTGACACACTTTCCCCTGGGGGCGGGGACCCAGAGACCCCTCCCTGTCGAGTGTCACTGTTAATATTTCTCATCTCCAAGGCATCTTGGGGGCGGTCAGTCTCTCTCCAGGACCCACTCTGCTAGTCATCCTGCCTCTGAGGACCCTCCACCAATAAACAAGCACCTTCTATACGAGATCCAATCACCCCTGGAGGCCACTCAAAACTCTGGGACAGGGTCCAACTGCGTCCCCCGGTATTTAAAGTGGGCTGCAGGCTGGGTATCAAACTATGCCCCTTGGGCTTCCAAGTTTATCAGGCTGAAAAAGAGCAAAAAGCTTAATATGCCACTTGGGGAAGCAAACTGATACCACTTAGCTGCAGTGTTGGCAAGGAGGGTGGGATTTATCCCGTGGTGACCAACAGAAGCCCTGGAGGCTGGAGGTCTCGTGCTGTGCTCCCTTCCTTACCCTATTCGCTCTCACTTAGGAAGAAGACCTTCCCCATCTGGGATGAGAGGCGTGGGCTTTGGGATCAGGGCTGGTGGGGGACACCTTCTATTTCCAAACACACCTTGCAGCACTGTTGACCCCAGACACCAGGCTCCGTGGTGATCTTCTGGCTTACCCAGGGGAGGGCATGGTCGGGAGGAGGACCAACGAGACCCGCTAAATATCATCCATCGGCAAAGCATTAGCAACCAACAGTCGAGAGGTGAAACGCACACCCCTGCTTTTATAAAGAGACGGCTGTGCCGACTGTAATCACCACCCTCCCAGCGGAAGTGACTTTCATATGGGAAGCCGCGTCCTCTGTGCCCAGGAAACACACGTCAAAGGTTCACTGACATTTTCAAAAGGCAATAAAAATCTTTTTTTTCTTTTTCAAGTCTTTGTATAGACGTACACTTTTATTTCACTTGGGTAAATGTCTAGGGATAGAATGGCTGGATCACATGGTGGGTAAATGTTTTAACTTTTGCAGAAACTGCCAAACTGTTTTCCAAAGTGGTTGTTCTATTTTACAGTCCCGCCAGTATTCTATGAGCGTTCTAGTTCCTTCATATAAAAGGCAAGAAAAATCTTTCAGTGGCAACAGCAAGACACTCAGAGGCCTCAAAGCATATTACCTTCAGAAGCAAATGAAGCTTTGCTTGGAAGATTGGTTAGATGTGTCCGAACGTCTAGCTAGAACTCCGTCCAAAGACAAAAATTACAAAATTGCTTGGCATGCTGCTGAGAGAGGGGAGCTATTCAGAGGTGGTAGAATACAACCAGGTTATGTAAGCAGGTCACAAGTTTCTGCTCATTGTTTTATCACATAAAGAAGCAACAGTCGCCAGAATCAAAGAACTTGCAGGTTATTTAAAAATAACCGGGACTTCCCTGGTGGCGCAGTGGTTAAGAATCCGCCTGTCAATGCAGGGGACACGGGTTCGAGCACTGGTCCGGGAAGATCCCACACGCCACGGAGCAACAAAGCCGGTGAGCCACAACTAGTGAGCCCACGAGCCACAACTACTGAGCCCGCGTGCCACAACTACTGAAGCCCACGCGCCTAGATCCCGTGTTCCGCAACAAGAGAAGCCACCGCAGTGAGAAGCCCGCGGCCCGCCACAAAGAGCAGCCCCCGCTCGCCACAACTAGAGAAAGCCCGCGCGCAGCAACGAAGACCCAACACAGCCTAAATAAATAAATAAGTAATAAAACAAAATAAAAATGACCAAGCTCAATCAATCAGAAACAACCAACTCCCTGAGAAGTCACTGCACAGATACCCACATCTCGTATGGATGTCAAAGATTTCCCATGGCCACTGCTTCCGGTGAAAACGAGAGGAACTTGGTTTTCGGATCCCTTTATGGCTGAATCAAGGAAAAAGCGAGAAACCAGAGGCCGGGAAGACTCTCCGAGAAGCAAAGGAAGGCAGGGGCACGTGGCAGAGCCCAGGAGGGCACCTGGGCAGAGCCTCCCTTCTGGACTTCCTGGGTCTTCTAAAGAGGGAGCCAGGTGATGGGAGGCGAGGGCCTGCAGCATGTGGGGAGCTGACCCCGAGACACGTGGCTCCCTTTCGGGTAAGGTGACAAGGGGCAGGGAATTCAGGCTTCTCACACCTGCTCGCCCTCAGGATTAACGCAGGGCAGGGCAGGGCAGCCTCACCTTGGCAAGGCAGCCCCTCTGAAGTCCATTTCACCCTGCTTCACTCCTCCCAGCCTACAGGGACCTCATGTTTGCAGGGAGCTTGCCCTAAGCTGCACTTTGTATTTTCCATGAGAGACTGTATCATGGAACAGGTCTCCTTGATTCAGGAAACGGAGTGGCGTTCCTGTTTTAAAGTCTGTAACCTGGCAGGCCACACAGGGAAAAGAGAAGATCTAGGACCTTAAAAATTAGGAGACAAAGGCCTGCCCCAGGGGAAAAAAAAAATCTGAAAGTTGGAGATTCCAGCATACGAACAGGTATCTACAGAGAGAACACATGTATTACTGAGGACAGAAGTTTGCTGTGGACCATTCCAGGTGATGAGCTGTCAGGGGTTAGGGGTTGTTTTCTGTTTTTCTTTTGGCCTCTGTAGGGTTGACATCTGCCATGCTGTTTTTTATTTTATTCATTTCCGGCTGTGTTGTGCGGCACGTGGGATCTTAGTTCCCTGACCAGGGATTGAACCCGTGCCCCCCGCAGTGGAATCGCGGAGTCCTAACCACTGGACCGCCAGGGAAGCCCCCTGTCATGCTGTTTTTGAATCCTGGTCAGGAACAGTCCTAACCAGAGATGTCAGCCAACGTATGGCTTTGAGGTATTCAAGTCTACAGAGATCGGAAAGGTTGAGATTTGTGTTCTAGAGATCAGTTACACTTGGGAAAGACCCACCAAGAGAAAGGAGGAAAGAAAATCTGTTATCTCCCCAAAGACCCACAGAAGCTTTGGGAGTTCCCGCACCGTTTAGGGTGAACTTGGAGGTCGGGGAGCAGTGGCAGGACGGGTGCCAAGGTGAATGATGAATAAGAAGGATCCTAAAAATCCTGGCTCAGCCTTGTCTGCAGTCCCCCAGGAAGGCCAAAATCCGGTATTTCCAGCTCCTCTAGGGATAATTCCTCTCCTAAATGCATAACAACAAAGTTTCTTCACCTCCCCAGTACAAACAAAACCTGGGGTCACCTGGCAACACTTCACAGACCTGGTCTCAGCATCCACAGATGTATAAATCCTGGAAATGTGGAAGCAGAGGCAGGGCCTGGGCCAAGAATGTGTCTCCCAAAGGCCCAGCTGACCAATCCAACCCCCAACTATGAGTCAAAGTTTCCCCTGGTACCCAGAACTTTCTAGGTAAGCTTGTTTTACCCCAGGTTCGGGCTCTCTCTGAAGTAACATTCCTGCACCCCCCGTCCACGACATAAACCCCTTTCAGGGTGGCTGTCTTTTGGAGGCTCTCCATCCTTCCACTAGGTCTGCAGAGGACCTCAATATCCACAACTGAAAAAAACAAGTCCCTTGGAACACAAGTTCTGACTGTCTCATGACAACAGGCTTTGTGAGCTAATAAATTTGGGAAATGATGCCACAGCCCCTTGTGAAGATGCATGGCACGTCACAGCATGTAAAAGACCCTGAGAAGTCATACACTCAAGAAAGGGGTTTTGACGTGTTGAATCCTGTGTTTCAGGAACACATGAGACCCCAGATTTCCCTCTCCTTGCCTCCTGCCCCAACATAACCTAGCATTAGTGGAACTTGCATTCCATAGGGCACTGTTCAGATCGCTCCCGAACTTTTCAATTACATGTGCTCATTCCAAATTACAGAATGTCCAGCCTAAGGTCCGGGGGCAGGGGCGCCGCTGAGACAAGACCCCTGCAGAGCAGTTTCAAGCACAGGCTGAGGATGAGTCACGCACTAAACTGAGCTCTGAGGGAGGCCGCTAGCCCTGGTGTAAATATCCTCGTGGATTCGGGGGGCTGCTGTCGGCTGGCCCTGGTGGAGGCCCCCTAAGGATGAGAACGCAAGTGAAGTGGCTACATCAGGTTTCAGGACGGGAAAGAACAGCTGCACCGAGCTGCACGGGGGCAGAACATTAGTATCCTCTTTTATTTTTTAAAGCTTGTTCTGATTATCTTTAGTTGCATAACAAACCACCCTCGAAATTCAGTAGCTTATTGATCTGGGCCACAAATCCACAATTTTGGGAGAGTTTGGCAGGGACAGATTGACTAGTCCACACAGCACTAGCTGAGGTGGTTTGACTTGTGTAGTTCTAGCCTCTGCATACCCCTAAAAACCCTCTGGTGGTAAGGCCCCAGCAGCATCTGGAAAGCTGCCTGCAGTCCCTGGGGCCCCAGTGGGATGGCAGTCTGTCCACGGAGATCCCAATGACCCTGGCTCTTTATACTAAGAAGACCATACTGTAGGGGCCAGTGGATGTCGAACGCCCTGAGATTCCACAGTGAGAACTTTCTCATAGAGGTCATCTGGATGGCTTTTCAGAGGGGACTGGGAATCAGACGAGGTCTGGCAGGGTGGAGCCCACCTCTGATGCAGAAACACTTGGGACCAAAGGACCAGAACTGCCCCTCCAGGGCATCCCCCCCCCCCTCCCCCGCAAGGGACACTTCACACAGGAACTGAGTCGCTTAAAACTGAGTTTTAAAAACAAATTCCAATGCATTTGCTAGCTCTCTCACTCTCTCTCTGCATCTCTGTCTCTCTCCCCCATGAGGCAAAGATCAGATTCTAAGTATGCTGTTTTTTTTTTTTTTTTTTTTTTTTTATAGATTGGTGAAATCTCCCCCTACTCCCCTTAACTTCTAAGAATTTCCAGCTTTTCTTTCCCCACCAGACAGAATACAATGAACAACAGCACAGAGCAGAGAAACACCCCGCACCCGCCTCTCACGGGAAGGGTCTCTGGTGGGAAAGGGAACAAGCGGGGACACTGGACCTTGTGAACACTCCCCATCATCACAGGACACAGGTGTGGGTCTCCAAGGTCGACTCCCACTCAGAAGAGAAGAGGAGTGGAAAGTAAGACTCACGCACCTCCACAGTTCTGGGCTTTTCAACCTTTCCTCTGTAGGACACATTAGCCGATGACTCAAGCCCACGTATGTGGGTGCCAGGGCTGAGCTGACACCTCCCACGAATGAGCTGTGCTCGTTAGGAAACCTGTTTATGCCCATTTGACTTCTTATGGGAATCACATCATGCAATTACATATTATGTGAACTGATTTAATGTGGGTGCAAGAGGGTCATTCCTATGCGAATTAAGCTGGGCGCATTTATGAGTCTCATAACAACTGCATCAAAGTAGGTGTAGGTGTCGATCATAAAAGACGGGAAAACAACTCTTAGAAACTTATAAGGATCTTACACTCAGATTGATTCAAGGTTTAGGTTTTCAATCTGTTTTAAAGAGACTGAAACTGGGAATGTTAAACTACACACTGCAGGTGTTACTGATGCAAGAATGTTGCTGAGGGGTGCAGACGAGCAGACCCATCATCAGAATAAAACCGCTGAAGATCTGAGAATTGATGTACATTTGTAAATTCTGAGTCAAAATCAAGTGTTTACTATCTTTTTTTTTCAGTGTCCCCTTTTGACCCACTTTTTTTTCTTTTGATGAGAACTAATCAATACTGATCACAACTGTCAGCTCGGAAGGCTGCACTTACTTCTGGCCTGAAGGGTGGGAAGTGAGCCTAGCACCCCGAATAGCACAGATGGAAGCATCCAGAATGAACTGACATGCTAACAGACACAACCCACTCAAACTGCTGCTGGTAAGTGCAGCCTTCCTGTCATCCCATCTGAATCAACCCCTCCATCCCACAACCCCCAACACTGAGAAAGGGATGCTAGTTCATACCCATCCTTTTTGTAAAACTCCAGCATCATGTTATCCGTGGCAACGCTGAGGGGCCGGCGGGCCTGCTCGGGCTGGCGCCGGTCGGCAGGGTCCATGTCTGGGGAGGGCATCGAGCTGTAGTTGGCATTGTGGTTCACGTGCACCGGACTCCCGTAATTGCCCGTGATGTTGAACTCTATCTCTGCGGGGAAGACAGAATGGGTGCACATGGTCTGTGGGTCAGCCTTCCGGGGCAGGAGGGAGATAGCAGAGATGGCCACTTCTTTATGTGTTACCCCTGAAAATCTTGCCCCGTGGTTCAGTGTTAGATCATCTATTGATATTAATTCATCTTAATATAATTCATCCTATTACCAGGTGAACACATGTGCTCACCTAGCGTGTAATACGATGAGCATTTAATAAAGCATTTTTCATCTGTGATTCACAAAACAAATTTAGCCAAATAGGAACAGATGGGTACTTTCTTTTTGAAACGGCAAAATAATCTGTCTCAAACCTTATGTTTAAAAGTGAAATGCCAGAGCAGTCTAAATCATATCAGGAAAAAGAGCAATGCCCACTCTCAACGCTGTTACTTGACACTACTGAGGAAGTGCTAGCCAATGCAATTAGTCCAGAAAAGAAAATAACAGGCAATATTATCATCTGTAGATGATGATGATGTCTTTCTGGAAAACCAAAGAGAAAAAGAAATTTTAAAGGATTAGAAATAGAAAGAGATCTAAGATTGTGGGCTACCAAATGGAGTCTAGTCTCATCCTTTCCTGGTCACAGCCTATTTATGTGCAATGACAATGAATGAGCACAGAACTTACAGAATTATGCCTTTAACGCCTACCTCCTATATTTCTTTACCCTGATTTCCTATCCTCACCCGACTGTGTCATCAATTGAACTCTTATTTCAGAGCTGTCACGGTCAAAACACATGAAGCCAAAAGACAATCAAACTGCTTTAATGTTAGATCAGCACTAAGTGATTACTTCTGATGAACAGAGCAGAGAATTATTAATATTACATCCCCACATGAGTTAATAGTTTGTTGTTGCACAGCCAAAAGCATACCCTTAATATTTACTAAACATAAGGCACAGTACTTTTTTGAAAAGCAAACACTGAATTTAATGTAACAACTGCTGTCTGTCTCTTCAGAGCTGTCACCACTGCGAGTCATTCCCTTATCCAATGGTGCTTCCACGCTAAGAACATTTATGAAACTCCATCTTAGGGAGCTGTCTTGAGAGCTTCATTTTGAACGAGGTACGAAAAAAGAATCTTGTTGCCTCTGAGCCCCATCTTTACATGCCGAGGGCAACTCCAAGGACACAGCCTAGCGCAATGAACGGATGGCACCCAGGTGACCCCTAAGCCCGGAATAGAAGTTCATGTTCCTCTCCAAGCCACTCTCTCACTTTGTCCCACCCTACCCTTCCCCCTCCCTGTGTCCTCAAGTCCATTCTCTAGTACTACCGAACGTAAAACAGATAGCTAGTGGGAAGCAGCCGCATAGCACAGGGAGATCAGTTCGGTGCTTTGTGACCACCTAGAGGGGTGGGATAGGGAGGGTGGGAGGGAGGGAGACGCAAGAGGGAAGAGATATGGGAACATATGTATAACTGATTTGCTTTGTTATAAAGCAGAAACTAACACACCGTTGTAAAGCAATTATACTCCAATAAAGATGTTTAAAAAATATATGGAAAGGAGGCATGACTATTGCCAAAAAAAAGAAAGAAGTTCACGTTCACCTCAAGTCCAGGTTCATCCTCTGCATCTACAGAGCATAACATCTCTCTTTTTTTTTTCCTGCTTCAGCATTTCATGATTGACAGATTTAAAGAAACTATGGTGTAGATGTTAGACCAATAAAATCCGAGGGCGTGGTTAGCACAGCACCTTCAGGCCAGAATTTCCCTCGACCAGGGATGAGAGTAAGAAGCTGCCATGACCTGTCCCCATTCCTGAGTGGTGTATGTGTGTGTGTGTGTGTATGTGCGCGCGCGTGTGTGTGCACATGTGTGCACGTGTGCTTGTGTGTAGGAGGATTAAAAACAAACCAAATATACACACACCTTTGGCCAGTGGTACTCAAAGGTGTCAGAGGTTCGGAACTCACAGCGACACTCCCATTTTCCACAGAAGCCCACTCCCGCACCCGGATGCTGTCACGTACCCCCGGGGAAGAACCAGTCTGCGTGCTGGATGATGGGCTCGATGACCCCGACGATCTGCAGCGAGACCGTGGTCATCATCTCCGTGATGTTCCTGTGAGCACAGGACAGAGCGGGGCAGGGCGAGGTGAGCGGCCGAGGCAGGGAAGGGGCCCTGGACCAGAAGTCCGGGAGCAAGCAACCTCTCAGGAAGGACACGTCTTCACCTTTCTGAACCTCTCTCCCCCTCTACGGAATGCAGATACCCCAGAAGTCCTCCCTACAGGAGACGAGCAAGTGACATACTCAAAATCGCCAAGTATGAGGCATCTTTCGGTGTGAGGTATGATTCTCGTAACTGCCGGGTTCCTCCTTCTCCCAGCTCTGTTCTCCCTTTTGAGACACAGCCCTCTGTCCCGCTGATGCTGGGATGCGTACTGTTCACAGGGGGCCAGGGAGGCCTGGAAGAGCCTGCCGTGCCTAGTGGTGACTCAGATGAGCTCAGAGAAGACCCTGACTGCAGGCCTAGCTCTGAGACTACCAACAAGAAAGATCTGAAGAGTGCCGGGTCTCCTCCTGAGTCTAAAGAAGGAGCAGGCCAAGACAGACATATGACCTGACACATACATGAGGCTGGTGGATATCCGGGGCCCTGGCCACCCCGCCCAGGCCCCAGCAGCATCCTGCCCCCAACGTGACCCACACACCCCTTCCTCCCTGGACTCACCCTTCCGCTTGTGGCCACAGCAAGTTGGGTCCTAATACAATTGCCATGTTACTGGGAGTCATCTTGTTGACATCTTGATATTCTGAGAGTTTGGATAAAAACTTGATCAAGTATCTGAAAGAAGTGAGAAGGGCCAGGTTTAACATGGGCTCAAAACCAGCCGTGGTCCCCCAGCGCCGGGTGGAAACTTCTCTTACTGATAACAAGATTCATACATTCTACAATATAATCAAGACGTGTCACGCGTCAGGACACGAGAATGCTCTACAAACAGTCGGACTCAGCTCTCACTCAGCTGTCAACATTTGCTTCGATTAACCCTGGCCAGAAAAATTCTCCATCTTTCCTTTTGACCCACTGCACGATGACTGAAAGCCTTCCTTCTTTTCAAACCTCTGTCACCTGTCACCCTCCCTGCGTGCAGAGGTGAGACGCAGTGTGTAGGTGTCATTGGTGGGGACATTTACATGCTAGGGGTGGCGTCCCCTGGGATTAACCTCAGTGGGGCTCTGAGAGCCAATGAGGAAAAAGTTAAAGCTAGACTTGGCATGTGGCCCAGCAATTCCACTCCTAGAGAAATACGTCCACAAGCAAATGGGGACACAAATGTTCCCAGCAGCATTATTCATCACAGCCAAAAAGGGGAGACCACCCACATGTCCATTATGCAGTCCATCCAGACAACAGAATACTATTCAGCCCTAATAAGGAATGAAATACTGACACATGCTACCACACGGATGAACCTCAGAAGCATGATGCCAAGTGAAAGAAGCCAGACTCAGAGACCCCACGTTGAATGGTTCCACCTCTATGAAGTGCCCAGCGCAGGCAGACACAGAATGTAGATGAGTGTTTGCCAAGGACTGGCTGGGCAGAAATGGGGAATGACTGCTACTGGGCACAGAGTTTCTCTTTGGGGTGATGAAAATGTTCTAAAATTAGACAGTGGTGATAGCTGCGCAGCTCTACAGATTTACGAAAAGCCACTCGATTGTACACTTTAAAAGGGTACAATGGTATACGAATTGTATTTCAATAAAGCTATTATTTAAAAAAAATCAGTAAGTGAGCTGTGCACAAATGAAGCATGAAAAGAGCCCTCACAGACCACACCAAACCTGCCAGGCCGCACGGAGGTCCCGGCCTCTGTTACACAGGTGGCGGGTCCAGTCCCATTCTGCCTGGACAACAGTGAGGTGGCTCCTTCGGGAATTGCTGACTTACCTTCTGCCCACGGAGCAGAAAGACCACAGAGGCCCCTAAAGCTGCCAGTGGGCCACCTCTACCCACAGCCTCTCCTGCCATGTCATACCCTCCAAGAGGCCACACATACCTGGACCAGGACGTGGGACCTGAGCTGAGTCAATCCACAGGCTGGCCAGTGGCCTAGCAACACTTGAAGAGTCATACCCATCTGATTCTTGCTGTTGGGATTTTGTTTTTCAATTTTGTATACATAAGTTGACCAATTTAAGCATTTTACAGTGTATAATTCAGTAGCGTTAAATACTTTCACACTGTGATGCAACCATCGCCACTATCCATCTCCAGAATCTTCCATCACCCCAAACTAAAACTCTGCACCCATTAAATGACAGACCACCTGCTGCGTCACCCGCTCAAAGCCCCTGGCAACCACCATTCTTTCTGTCTCCATGAACTGACTATGTACCTCTTAGGAGTAGAACTGTTCAGTACTTGTCCTTTTGTGTCTGGCTTCCCTCAGCGTAAAGCCTTCAAGCTTCATCCATGCTGTAGCAAGAAGTAGAATGTCCTTCCTTTTGAAGGCTGAATATCGCATTGTATGGGTACTTTGTTTACGCATCTATCCGTCACTGGACATTTGGGCTGTTCCCACCTCTTGGCTATTGTGAATCACGCTGCCATTAACATAGGTGTACAAAATCAAGTCCCCACTTTCAAAATCTTTTGGGAATACATCCAGAAGTGGAATTGCTGGGTCGTACAGTAATTCTATGTTTAAGTCATGAAAAATCGCTCCTGGGGTTTTTAACAGGAAAACAGAAATCATGAGGCAGACGGCAGCAGCAGCTGAAGCTGAAAATCTGCATCTAAGGAAGTTCCCAGGAGAGGGGCGGGACCAGGGGCAAGGCTGGCACAGACAACATGATGAGGAAGCAGGAAGTGAAATCCTGGCGGCAGCAAGAAAAGTAAGAGACAGACTCGTGGGAAATTGCTGCTGAAAGGTGGAAACCACAGAATATTCTCCCAGCCTCTTCGTCCTGCAGCCTAGCTCCAGGACACACCTGCCAAGTCCAGCTCAGGGTCTGGTCAGCTTCTCCGCAGTGTCCACGGGCACCCATCTTTACAATAACCCCCCCGATATCTGGAAACAGACTGCATTCATCTTTGCTCCTTGCAAATCAAAGAACTGAACTACATTAGCCAACAGCTGGCCAGGTAGCCTGCAAAGTCTCACAGTCCCTTCTAGTCTGTTTCCTCATGTGCAAAACGGTAATTCACAGCCTCCCAGGGCTGCCTGAGGTTGAAAAGAGACCCTGCATGTTAACCATGCTTTGGACACCATATAACACCATGCTTGCCAGTGACCATGCCTTTTGGCCCGGAAACACGTGTCTGAGGCTTAAATAACCTTGACCCAGTGTCTCCAGGGTCCACTCACCGGATGTTGTTGTAATTGGCCTTGGGCAATTTCTCACAAGCATTCCACAGAGCCTGGAGCCTCGTGTCCTGCTCCTGGATGCTGGGAAATTAACAGGAAAAGCCATTGGTTGAGCACGAATCGATGAAGTCCCACCAGGATTCATATTCACCAGCCATCGAAATATTTGAGAAAAAGGAACCAGCCGTTGTTAGTGATCGTAACAGTAAACTATTATCATTCATATGTTTAGTTCTTATTATTTCCCCCTCTAAGGTCTCCTTCTGTCTTGCCTGGGCTATTTGAACAAAAGTTCCCCTACACAGGTCACACGGCCCAGGTGAATGGGTGCCGGGGCAGCAGGTGAGGGAGGAGGGCAGAGGCCAGACACCTGCTCTGGAGTGGGCGGGGCCGTGGTGTCATCAGGAGGGCGATTCTGTCACAGCAACAGGACACCAGAAACAGGTCAACCCCACTTTCACACCACGGTGGCAGCTGACTGGCCTGTTCCACGGGTATTAGTTAAGGCACATGAAGTGTCTTATCATCTGGCACATAATAGATGCTCAATAGACACCTTCTGAACAAGTAAATTACATGAACTCATACAGACATAAGGACATCTGACCCTTGAAGACATAACTCAGAGATGGATAATTTCCATGACCAAAGGATTCTCTACTCTACAAAAAGATTTGCTCTAAGGGTTTCTTTATTGATAAACCCTGTAAGGATTAAAAGAAATTATTTATAGGACTACAGTTTTTCATTTACTTTTCATGAAAACCTACATCAAGGCTGACACGGTTAGGAAGGCCTTATGTTCAAAGAACCTTTTCTCGAGAAAAACTAAAAAGCAAATGCCAACAGGGAGGCTCAGCTCTGACCCCTTGACCCGGGGCCCAAGGCAGGGCAGTGGCCATCGCTGGGTCCCCAGAAGTCTTCCCTCCCATCCTGACCCGGGCAAGAAAATCTCCCTTTTCCACTCCTCAGCCCTTGAAAGGGCAGATTCTGCCAAGACCTTCCCTTCAATAAAAATCAGCACCCATGTACTGAGGGTCTCCCGTGTGTCAGGCAGTGTCCCAAGTGCTGGGAATCAGGATGCAATCAGAGGAGACCGTTGCCTCCCCCGCCCTGCCCCACCAGCCCAGCTCACAACCTAACCAGCTACACAAACACAGCCTCGAACCCGCAGATCAGTTCTCCGCAGAGAAAGAACACCGGGGATGGGACGGATCCTGACTGCCAGCTGCTTGACGTCTGGGTGCCAGGAAGGCGGGCCCAAGAGTCCAAAGGAGCCCACCAGGCAAAGGTTTCGGGGGAACAGTCGCATGGGAGGGGACGGCCAGCACAAAGAGGGAGAAGTCCTGGGAGTGACGGGAGCCTCGGGCCTTCCTGCCGCCCCTGGTAGGCATGGCTCAGCCTCTGGGCTGCTCCGTGGTTCCTGCATGGAAACGCTCAGCACACGTGACCAGCAAAGTCCCAGGCCACCTCGCCTGGCAGATCCCTCACTACTGCTCCTGCTGTTTCCCGCCAGTCCCCGCCCTGACTCCTGGATGGCCCGGCCCGAGGCAGAGCTTCCCTGAAGGCCAATCCCCTGTGGCTCTCTGGTGAGATTCAGCTTCACCAAAGGTCAATGGTTATCAACCCAGTAGCCTTGGGAGCTTTGAAACAAAGAGAATTAAAGCAGAATCTCTGAAAAGGAGGTCCAGGCATTGAACCTAGGTATCTTTTAAAGCTTCGCAGGAGACTGACGCACACAGAGGGTGGCTGTCCTGGGCAAAATTACCTTCATTAGAGACTGTGGCCTCGGGGTGGCCGCCACCACCGTGCCCAGAATCTTCACGCACAACATGCATCTCCTCCAGGGGTAGAAAGAAGCCTTTGCTTTCCCTTCGTTCAAAGACCTGAGCTCTTTGAGGCATCCGCTCACCCCTACTTCCTAATGGCGCCCAGCTTTGTAAATCATCGGGAACAGTCTCTCTCTGATCCCAAAGCACCCGGCTGCCCTCCCCTCCTCCAGCTTGGTGTCACCAAGACCACCCATACATTCAGCAAATGAAAGGGGCAGTGTGTCCATCAAAAGATATGTCCTCACTCATCATCATCACAGGGGCCCAGGACCCCTGTGTCATTCTAGAGAGGCATGGAGTGCCGTTAAGCACGTGGGCTCCGGAGCCGGACTCCTTGGACTCAAATCCTCATCCTGTCACTTATTAGACGGCAAGTAACCTGCCATAAACACCTGCTCTGTGACTCGACTTCCTTATCTATAAAATAGGGAAGACAGCACAACCCCCTTCATAGGGTTGTTGTGAAAATCAGATGAGTTAAAAACATAATGAGCTTAGAACGATGACAAGCCTCTAATAAACACTCAACAAATGGCATCACCTGTGATTATTAGTATCATCGTGGGCTCTAAAACTCACTTTCCACCATGAGATGTAGGAATACCAGGCAGTCAGCCAGCCTTTTAAAATGCATCATCTCTATTCTACCTTGGATAAAAACCCAGAGGTGCGCACGGTAACTGGAGCGAGCTTTTTCTAACTCTGCACACGCCAGCCTGGCTTCACTTCCAGGTCAGCTGGGTTCTCTTGCAGCCCCAGTTCTTCCAGAAGCACATACACACTCCAGCATCCTTCTGGAGCAGCTTCGCTGGCTGCTTTTCACTACTAAACCCCATGATTAGAGATCCCCAGAATCCATCCTTTCATGGGCACCGAGCTCAGTCCTCCCATGAAATGTTCCTCTCCCTCCTGTATCTTTTTCTCCTGGACCATCTCCACCTTCATCTCTCCCAGCCTCTCTCTGGTGCCCATTCTCCTGTGTCCTCCCTAGCCGTGTGAATCAGTAACAACTGATTCCTCCAAACAGTAGCACGTACTAGAGTCAGATCTTACTTAGGGCCAAAGAAAATACACAATACAATCCTAATCACGAATCAAGTGAGGAAGGAAGCAAGGAATCCCACGCTTCAGAGCTACACAGGTGACATGGCTGGGGCGTCATCTGCTGAGCACCAGCCCCCCCGATCTCCATACCCCCATATTCCCGATGCACGACCAGGGTCTGGGCCTCATTCCTGCCACCTCCCTGCTGAGGCCCCCCCCCCTCCAGGCTCACCTTCAGGAAAGTGGGGGTGGTGTCCACTGCCCGGACATTGTATTTTGATGTTAGTTATTCGTTAGTTGTTGTTAATATTTTTTACCTATTACAGAAGAGGGTAAACACCCCTGTCACCACTCCCTTGTCCTGCTCTTTTCTCCGGAAGGAATCATCCCCACCCGCCAGTGTGAGCCTTTCCAGAACCTTCTTTTATGCAGTGACACATTTATAGAGGCACTCCTAAAACTGTATCGTTTTGAGTGTGTTGGGTGTTTTTTGTATTTCTTCTTTTTAAAACAACAGACTATCCTGTGGGTCCTTGTTAACTTTAGTTCACTCAAAATTAAATCTTCGTATCTCTACACGTGAGCAGGAATAGCTCTACCCGTTTTTCGAAGTGCTGCCGGGCATGTGAGAGTGTAGCTATACCGTATTTTATTCGGTCATTCCCTTCTGCTACTCAAGGTGACCGCACGACCAACACCCTGGTACGCACCTCTCCGGGCACACGTACAAGCCTTTCCCCACGACACATACCAAGAAAGGGATTCGCTGGATCCCAGGTGGCATGCTTTCACAATTTCAATAAAGACTTCCAAATAAACCACAACCCAGAAGGCACCCCGAAACGTGCTGTACTCACTTGGAAGCCTGAATCCACTCATCATAGAGCTCAAAAGTCATCAGAGGTTCTGGCAGCTCCCGGAGGTAAGATTTCAAAGCTCCTGGACATGAACACCATACGGTCCGTGAGCCACTGGGACACGGCAGAGACACATACTACCAGCCAGCGCCACCATGAGGGCCACACCTGGGAACGGTTCCCCGACCCATGTGACAAGGTCACACAGTGGCTGCCACGTGACCGGATCCGAGGCTCTGGCGCGGCCGTGGGCCCTGGGCTGGTGATCACATTGGCCTCCCCCGTCATGTTTCCCACCCTCGCCCCTTCCCCTGGCACGTGGGGGATGGGAAGGCCTCCCTTCAAGGGCCACAGCCACCAGGGCTCAAGCGGGGTCCTGAGTGGACATGCCTGGAGCATGCTGGGAAGCCCGTGGCTCGAGTGGCCCTGACACGTGGCTGCACACCCTCCATGCCCACCCCCTCCCCCGGAGCCCCTCCGGTTGCGAGGCCCACCTGCAATGGCGTGGGGATCTGCTGAGCACTCCTGCACGTCCACCACGCAGCAGTCCAGGGCAGCCTTAAGCTTCTTTAGCTTGGAGGCAGATGGGGCTACTCGGAAGAGGCCCTGCCGACAGGACAGAGGGTCACAGGACAGCCTGAGCCTCCAAGGCACAAAAGCAAAACGGACAGGCAGGGATTTCCCTGGTGGCCCAGTGGTTAGGAATCTGCCTGCCAATGCAGGGGACACGGGTTCAAGCCCTGGTCCGGGAGGATCCCACATGCCGCGGAGCAACTAAGCCCGTGCGCCACAACTACTGAGCCTGAGCTCTAGAGCCCGTGAGCCACAACTACTGAAGCCCATGTGCCACAACTACTGAGCCCATGAGCCACAACTACCGAAGCTCACGCGCCTACAGCCCGTGCTCCACAACAGAGAGAAGCCACCACAATGAGAAGCCCACACACCACAACAAAAAGTAGCCCCCGCTCAACGCAAGTAGAGAAAGCCCACGCAGAGCAACAAAGACCCAACGCAGCCAACTAATAAATAAATAAATACATAAATAAATAAATTTAATTAATTAATTTGAAAAACCTGATAGGCAGTCTACCCACCCCGTTCCTCCACGATCAACTAGGTGCATCCTTCCCGTCACCGTTTATCAATATTGGAGCGGTAGGACCCAAGCCTCGCCCACTGCTGTGTCCCCAGCGCCTAGTATGGGGTGACCCAGCGTTCTGGTTCAGTACGTATTTGTTGGATAAGTGAACCCTGGGCACTTCGACTTCCTGTTCTTCTGTATTTAAGATATATTTTGGAAAAACAAAAACACTAATTTGAAAAGATACATGCACCCCCACGTCCACAGTAGTGTTCTTTACAATTGCCAAGATAGGGAAGCAAACTAAGTGTCCATCAACAGATGAACAGATAAAGAAGATGTGGTGTATATATACAACGGAATATTATTCAGCTGCAAAAAGGAATGAAACTGTGTCATTTGCAGCAACACAGATGGACTTGGAGGGTATTATGCTAAGTGAAGTAAGTCAGACAGAGAAAGACAAATACTGTATGATATCACTTATACGTGGGGTCTAAAAAATACAACTAGTGAAGATAACAAAAAAGAAGCAGACTCAACACATACAGACAACAAACTAGTAGTTACCAATGGGGAGGGGCCAATACAGGCACAGAGGATTGAGAGGCACAAGCTATTAGGTAAAAAATAAGCTACAAGGATATACTGTACAACACACGGCATACAGCCCATATTTTATAAAGACTATAAGTGGAGCATAACCTTTAAAAATTGTGAATCGCTATATTGCGAACATGTAATTTATATAATATTGTACAGCAATGATAGTTCAATTTAAAAAAAAAGGATATATTTTGGAGAAAACTTTGACTGAGACCTGGTCAGAGTTGGAGGTCTAGGAGGTGGATGCATGCACAAAGGTCTACAGTGTGTGTGTGCACCTGTGTCTCTGTGTGTGTCTGTGTCTTTGTGTCTGTGTCTTTGTGTGTGTGTGTGTCTTTGTGTCTGTGTCTTTGGCTGTGTGTCTGTGTCTTTGTGCGTCTTTGTGTGTATCTGTCTTTGTGTGTATCTGTCTTTGTGTGTCTTTGTGTGTGTGTCTGTGTCTTTGGGTGTCTGTTTCTTTGTGGCTGTGTGTGTGTCTGTGTCTTTGTGTGTGTGCCTGTGTCTTTGTGTGTATGTGTCTGTCTTTGTATGTGTGTTTCTTTGTGTCTGTGTCTTTGTGTGTATGTGTGTGTGTCTCTGTGTCCGTTTCTTTGTGTCTGTGTCTTTGTGTGTGTCCGTGTCTTTGTGTGTGTCTCTGTGTTTGTGTCTTTGTGTGTCCGTGTCTTTGTGTCTGTCTTTGTGTGTGTGTGTCTTTGTGTATGTCTTTGTGTCTGCGTATCTCAGGAGGCACAGGGCCACACCTTGAGGAACTCATCAAGGCCATGCCCTCAGGGGATGGGCAGACTGGGGGTGGTTACGAGGGAGCAACACCTCTGCCTCCTGCAGCCCCTTCGTGTTTTATTCTTAAAGTTATTCTCGAGTCATTGTCACCTCTTGCACGTGAACCGCTGCAAAAGTGAGCTACTGCTGTATAAAGGGAGAAGGAAGCCAGGGAGGGGCATGTGGAAGGGGTGACGCGAGCAGGTCAGAGTTGGAGGGGAGCCCCCAAGTCACGGGGAAGGTAGACGCGAGTGGAAGACCCATTGGTTTGTTTCACCTGCTCAGCTCCTTGAATTCTATGATGCAGCCCAGACACTGAGACGCTGGCAGGATCCCCCTTGCTCCTTTACCTGTTTATGGCCATTCAGATTTCCAAGTTCCTTCAGAGGAAAACATGCCTCATCCGGAACACTGAGTTTTCTGCCTGCTAAGACTGCTAGCCCCCTTCTCAGGATAGGGTATGTCAGATAAATCCATGTCCAAAGCTCTGTGGCACCCCTGTGAGGAAGCCTCATGAGCACGTTTGGACCAGTGCATACGTAAGGCTGCTACAGCCCCAAAGCAGGCTGCACATGCATCGAAGGAGCGGGCGAGACCCTCGTCAAGCCACGCCACGCCACGGCCCTGGGGGGAGAGCAACCACACCCGGTGATGGACGGAGACAAAGCGAAGGGGGCAGAGTTTTCAAAGAGAAGCTTTCAGATTTCTGACCGTGTCACTGAGACGGCTGCTTCATGCAGTGACAAACACCGGGGGTGCAGGGGTGGGAGGGTTGTTAAAATAGCTTGTGAGTCCAGTTTTGGGGGCGTGAGAGGAAAATCTGCATGGAAATGTTGAGGACATGGCAGAAAACTCAGGAGTGGAGCCCACAGGAGGACGAGAACCCTGAGTCCTCACTAAGGCCAGGCGAAGCTCTCAGAGAGGGTGATGGCACCGCAGCAGAGATCAGAGTGAGCAGAGGGCAGGGCCGGGTGGTGCAGATTCCCCCCGCTGCTGCCCTGATGCTGTCGGCAGGGGCGGGGGGGGACCCAGGAGTCCAGGGAAGAGCTGGTTTCAAGGACGACTATGTTAGCAACTTCACAGGCAGTGATGGCCAAGGCGGCTGGAAGTCATGGGAAATAGCAGTGGGGATCCCCGGGGACCACTGAGGGCAGCTTCAGCCCAGTCATGGGGGCAGAAGGGACCAAAAAAAGAAAAGGAGTGAGTGAGTGAGTGGTGGTGAGGATGCAGGAGCAACAGATGATGAGAGCAACTTTAAGAAACTGAGTAGCACAAGCCACTACAGAGAACAGGATGGAGTTTCCTTAAAAACTCAAAATAGAGTTGCCATGTGATCCAGCAATGCCAGTCCTGGGCATATATCCAGAGAAAACTCTTAACTAACAAAGATACATGACCCCCTATGTTCATAGCAGCACTATTCACAACAGCCAAGACATGGGAGCAACCTACATGTCCATCAACAGATGCATGGATAAAGAAGATGAGGTCTATATATACAATGGAATACTACTCAGCCATGAAAAAAGAATGAAATAATGCCATTTGCAGCAACATGGATGGACCTAGAGATGATCATTCTAAGCGAAGCCAGTCACACAGAGAAAGACAAATATCATAGGCTATCACTTATATGTGGAATCTAAAAAAATGATACAAATGAACTTATTGACGAAACAGACTCACATGGTTACCAAAGAGGAACGGGGGTGGGGGAGGGATAAACTAGGAGTTGGGGATTAGCAGATACAAACTACAATACATAAAAGAGATAAACAACAAGGTCTACCATAGAGCACAGGGGACTATGTTCAATACCCTGCAGTAAATCGTAACGGAAAGGAATACGAAATATATATATGTCTAACTGAACATTGCTGTACACTTGAAACTAACACAACGTGGTATAAATCAATGATACGTCAATAAAAAATAAGTAAAATAAAAAAATCTTAAAAAAGAAATTGGGTAGCATAAAACACAAAACCAAAGTGCAAGGGAAGGAACATGAGGCTGTGGTTGGATTGAGAGAAGAGATTTTTCTCGGCTTGGGGCAACCTGAGCCTAGCCTACTTGTGATTAAAGAAGAGCTGAAGCAAAGCTGGAGGGTGGGGCGGACAACGCAAGTGAGACTGAGGCCTGGTGAGAGGCGGAAAGGTCCGGAAATAGCACGTGGGAAGAGTCAGGAGACAACACGGGAGAAGTCGGAGGACCTGATCTTCCAGACCCTGTTCACACTGAGTAGGCATGTGAAGGCAGCAATAAATTCTTTTCACTTTTTTATAGAATAATACTGCACAGTCACATTTAGAAACATTCCTTATCTTTCAGAGACACACACACTGAAGTCCTGCAGATGCAATGACAGAAGGTCTGGGATAGGTTTCAAAACGTCCAGCCAGGGGCTGGGGCGGAAGGTGAAGGTAGAGATGGACCTGACTGACCACAAGGCAGGTGATGAGGTGCAGTATCTTCTCTTCTGTCTTTCAGTTTTTCCATAATTAAAAACAAATGATGGGGAAAGAATAAGCCAAGTTCACCTCCCTCCATGAAACCATCCCTCAGGGGCTGAAGAGACCTTACCATCTTTTCATTGGTAATATACATGAAAATGCCTGGCACTTAAAATGGGGTAAAACACCCATTTATTCCCATCCCTTCCTAATAGCTGAATCTAAAACACGCCTGGCTTATAGGGGGCAGCAGACATACAGCTTCATCGTTCGTCAGCTTCCTCCCTTTCTGCCCCCTTCCTCTCTGCCCCCCCCACCCCCGGCCTAGTGATACTTAGAGTGCTTACTGACTGTTTTGAATGAATCAGGTTTATGTGACAGATGCTATACTCCTCTCCCCTCATAAGTCCATAAGCCCCCATATCTCACTCTTTTATATTTTGCTCAGTAATAAATGCCCTGAATAAATACTGATTGGCCGACCAGATTAAATGAAGATGGAGTAATGGTTTTTAAACTGCCTGTATAAGAAGCCAAAGATGAGGTCTATCTCCCAGGAAAACATTTACAGAACAAGAAAGACAAAAGTCACCAACGTCTCTTGACATGTGGCTCATATGAAATGCTTTCTAACGTCTGTATCAATCATATTTTCAGGATCTCTATAAAAAGGTTATGATCAAAAATGTTAAAAGGTCTATTTTTTCAATTAAAGAAAGAGGAGGTGGAGGATCAGAGGGGGAAGGAAGGGGATGGGGAGGAGGGGGAGGGGAAGGAGGGGGAGGAAAATGCCCCTATCAGGTTAAAAATGCAGAAAGAAGGGCCAGATCTGGGCTGTAAGATCCTCAGGGCCAGTGGTATCGTTTCCTGCAATCCTCCACTGTCCCTGGAGAGCAAAGGCTCATGGGAGAAATCAGGACCGATTTGAGGAAGGGCAGCTGTACCACGTCTTCATGGGTTTGGGTTTGTGGGGTTGGGCGAGGATGGTAACAGAGAAGGAGACCCCAGAGGCTCCAACTCGCGGACAAGGAGACCTGATCAAGGCAGAGCTCGGCTGTGCCCAGACCCACCTCCTCCTGCATCCCACACTCCAGCAGCATCGTCACACACGCCTCGATGGGGAAGGCAATCTCCCGGCCGCTGATCAGGAGGTGCTCCTCCAGGGGCTTCCCGAAGGAAGGTTTCTCCACCCAGGCCTCTGTCGGGGGGAGCGGAGCAAGAGAGGGGTCAGTGAAAGGGGTCGGTGGAGGTCACCCATGTGGGTATCTTCCCTTCCTCTGCTCACGATGATTCTCCTAAGTCTACCAAAGACACGGAGCCCCGCTGAGTCTCCATTCTTGGGGTTTGGGGGGATGATGGGGGGGAGTGGGTGGAATGGACGGCCAGCCCATGTGAGCAGCGCCGGTGGGCTTACTGTCACCCACGCACCTCCACGCATGCCCATGCACACCCGACTCATCCCCGTGGGGCCGTGTGTGTGAGTGTGCTTGGCTTCACTGACGCTGGGGCAAGGCACCTGCTGGGGGAGGTCCTGGGGCTCATCTAAACGTGGCCCTGCTCGGGACGCAGCGGGTGAGCCAAGCACAGGGCAACAGGCTTCTCTGGGAAGCAGGCTCCCCAGCCTCCCGGGTCCGGGTAAGGTCTGCACTCACCCTGCTGTGCTTTTATCTGAGGCAACACGGCCTGCAGGAGCGTCAGTGACTTCCTGTGGTACTCGGCCTGCACTTCTATGAGCTGAGGAAACACAAGAGTGAGCATTACCCTTTGCTGAAGGGTGGGGAGCACAGGCTGCCGCGCCATTGGGGTGCCCTGCTCTCTCCTCCATCCACCCGCAATGATGGGCATGTGTCTCCTTAGCCTCTGCGGCAGGGAAGTGACCACACATGGAAGTCTGGAAAGCAGAGGAATCGCGGGGGAAGACAGGACACCCCAGGGCTGAGCCTGCCCTCACCGTCGCCCCACCTAGCGAGCACCCCACCCCCAGTTCTCCCGGCAAAAGGCACCGAAGAGGTGCAACAATGAAAGACTATGAATGGAGAACACATTCCGAAATCTGTGTGCCTATGAGATGGCGCTAAATGCCATGAGCCTCTATATATCTTGATTTCTGCCAAAACAGTTCAAGATATAACTGGTTGGAAAACATGTGCTTGCTCCGCAATCCTCTTCAAGTATCTTGCGAGGTAAAATTGCTTTGGTTATCACGATGCAGGCCAAAGAACAAAGTCCTTCAAGATGTTCTACTTTGCCCATCTCACTACTAAAAAAGCTGCTGAAATGGTGATGAGAGCAGAGGAAAACCTGTGAACAACAGTCACTTCATTTATTTTCTGAATCTCTACCTCCTCCTCCTCCAAAAAAAATTGCGCATGTGTGAGGGAAAAGGTGGGAGTCACTCTGCTGAGAAGTCTGGTGTGAAGAGTAGCTACTGTTATCCCCAAGGAAAACAAAAAGGGAATTAAAAAAAAAATCAGAATGTTGCAATAAACGGTACCCAAATGGCAATTAGGTAAGCTAATAATGCTTGGAATGTCAACGTCATCCGCTTTAGAAACTCTAAAACAAAATATTATCTTCGCAAATAAAACTGATGGAATATACTTGAAAATTACTGCGCGCGGACTTTCTCCAGTTGCGGCGAGCGGGGGCTACTCTTCGTTGCGGTGCGCGGGCTTCTCATTGCGGTGGCTTCTCTTGTTGCGGAGCACGGGCTCTAGGCACGTGGGCTTCAGTAGTTGTGGCTTGCGGGCTCTAGAGCGCAGGCTCGGTAGTTGCAGCTCAAGGGCTTAGTCGCTCCACGGCATGTGGGATATTCCCGGACCAGGGCTCGAACCTGTGTCCCCTGCATTAGCAGGCGATTCTTAACCACTGCGCCACCAGGGAAGCCCAATCCCACTATTTTAAAATAAACTTTCCAAGTTGGAAGAAATGCCTATCAGCTCTCTCTCAGGGCAGAAGAAACTCTGGCCTTCTCAGCCACTGATGCCCACGCAGGGAGAGTGCTGACCGCCCACAGCTCTGCCCCACGCTTATCAACACATTTAAACTTCTCAGAACTCCTCCTCCTCTTTCTTCCCTTTACCTTCCTTCCTTTTCTGTTACTTCCTTGACCATAAAGAGATGCTTTGAGGTTTGAGTTTCATTCCCAACTTTAAAAGCAGGTGAGCTTAACTGGATTTTTCATTTGTATTTTTTCTTCTCAAGTTTTGTTTTTTTGTTTTTATTTTTCCTAGTTGCTTTGTATTTTCCCTGTTAAATAGCCAGGGTCCTAATTATTTGGGCCCGATCCTTCAAGTACGGATGACTCAGACCCTGTTTCTCTACTCTCTAAATCTGCTCTCATAGATGAAAGACAGGCAAACAGGCCGTATCAATCCTCGTTTACCTACTTGCCACCGTCTTGGGCAAAAATCTAGATTAAAAAATGAATACGTGCCAGGTGGGGTTTTCTTCCTCTTCCCGAGTTCCTTGCTGATGATAGATTCAGGTTTCTCTACCTTGGCTCTGCTGACATTTTGGGGCTGGATTATCCTCTGTTGTGAGAGTCGTCCTGTGCACTGCAGGATATTTAGCAACATATTTGACCTCCACCTCCTGGATGCCTGTAACACCTCCCCTCAATGGTGACAGCCACAAATGTCTCCAGACATGGCAAGAGGAGACCGAATCACCCCTGGTTGAGAACCACTGCCATAGAACACTGAGTTGCAGTCATCTCCATGGATGAAGCTGAATTTTATTCTTGGGCTTTTGGAGAAATCCATACAAGGAGAACTAGAAGGCAGCATTTATTCACAGGTAGAACAGTCAAAGCCCCATCCGTTCTCAGGACGTACTCGATCTAGGGGTCCTCAGTTCGAGGCTGACGTTCCTCCCTGTCCGCACCGTGATGCCTGTAAACAGACTTCAAGCAGCCTCACCTTTCTGGACCCTTACCATCTGAAAGTAGTTTGCATAGTCAATTTCTTTGGCCACAAAACTGTACATGTCAGCCGACAGCTGGTCCTGTAGGGGGTAAAACACAAGATAGAGAGTGGGTCATGCAGGAGTCTAAGCATCACAGAAGAAAGAGCCTTAACCGTGGTTGATCTCATTTTTCATAATACTTGACAGATTACAAACTTTGCCTGTGGACATTCCTCCGTTTCCCAACCACGGCTCTAGAGGATGAATAAGCGTGAAAAGAACACCTAAGCCAGTGTTTTCCCAGGGCGTTTGTTTAACACGTGGGCTACATCAAGAGTTAGGAAAGCTGGTATGGGGGAGTGATGTGCAAATTACTTCCCTACATCTCTGTGGCAGGCACCACCGTCTGAGGCAGCCCAGCCAGGTACAAACTGTGCTTCTGCTTTCCTCGTCTTGCCGTTTCTTCCCTTTGATGATGCTACCTGCCTAGCTCTCCTTCATTCTCAATTCTGATTGGCTGATCACCAGCATATGGGAAAGAAACAGAAACACACCAAGTCGTGGGAAGCTGGGTAAGACAGGTGGGCAGGGGAAGGACTGCTGACTCCAAACCTGGCAAAGCCTGGACTCATCCAACATCACACACAAATCTCATAGTGTGAACAGTCCCCCACCACTGAGCTTCCCATGGGACCGAGAACAATGGCTGAATGCCGTGTCTGGTTCTGGAAAGTGTTCCCTCCAAGGAGGACAGTTGTCTGTTTCACAGAAACACTCCCTGCAAGGTGCGATAAAAGTGCATCTTGAGCGGATGTAGACTTTGTCAATAACCGTATCTTTGGACATGTCATATCTCTAAACTTGTGTGTGCAAGTCATGTGATCTCTGACATCCCTCCCTGTTTGGTAGCCTTGAGGTAGATCTTCAGAAGAGATGCTTAGTTATGGAGAAGAGAGTCTATAATGTTCACGTTGAAGTAACATGAAAATATCACCCCAATGCTTATAGCAGCACTATTTCCAATTGCCAAGATACAGAAGCAACCTAAGCGTCCATTGACAGACCAATGGATAAAGAAGATGTGGTGTATATACAACGGAATACTACCCAGCCGTAAAAAAAAGAATGAAATCTCTCGCCATTTGTAACAATGAACAGACCTAGAGGGCATTATGCTAAGTGAAATAAGCCAGGCAGAGAAAGACAAATACTGCATGATCTCATAGGTCGAATCTAAAAAACAAAACAAAACGAAAACAGACTCACAGACAGAGAACAAACAGTAGTTGCCAGAAGGGAAGGGGTTGGGGGGGTGGGGAAAATAGGTGAGGGGGATTAAGAGGTGCAAACTTCCAGTTACATAATAAAGAAGCCACAGGATGTAATATACAGCACAAGGAAGATGGTCAATAATATTGCAATAACTTCGTATAGGGACAGATTGTTACTAGACTTATCGTGGTGATCAATTCATAATGCATGCAAATGTCAAATCATCATGTAGCACACCTGAAAAGAACATGATACTGTATGTCAACTATATCTCAGTAAAAAGGACGAAATAAAAAAAACAACACAAGAAAGCTGATCCAGATGCTGAAGGAATTAAAGCAGGCAACTACATGATTCAGGAAGAGCATTCTGCACCGACTGCAACAACCTCAGCAGCTTCTCCAGCTGCCGATTAAGCTGTTCTCAGTGAGCACGGGGACGGGAGGAGTAATCTGCTTCCTTTTCCAGTATCCTTGACCCGCAAACATCCTTAAAGCATTCTTGTACACAAGACAATAGAACCAAGATCCCAATTTCAGATGAAAGAGTTCAAGGTCACTTTCCCAAAGAATAAAAGGGGCTCTAGGACCACCCACCTCAGTTCCCTTCCACCAGAGCGTCCCTACCATGAATGCCTAATCTGTCAAAGGTGCAAGAGAAAGTGGTTTTGTTGGAACTCAACCTTGTCTGCCATCCCCCCAGCAGCCTTGGTCTGGAAACATCCATCGCCAGCCTGACAGGCCTAAGGGAGATATTTCAAGTCAGGGAAAAACAAAGGGTGGAGTGATAAAAATGGCTCGGCAGACAGAGGAAAGGAAGGGAGCCTGGAAGGGACTAAATGCCTATCAAATCACCTTCAACGACTCAGCAGATGATCTTAGAAAAGTCGGGCCAACTGCGTGTGCCCTCAGGAACACGACAGGATTTTCTAAAGGTACAATCACATTACTGTCTTAGGAAGTTAACAATATAGACTCCAAGTAAGCCACACAAGTGAGAAATAAAAGTGAAAACTTGAAATCAAATTTCTATTCATCTAAATAAATAAAATAAATATTGGGACTTCCCTGGCGGCCCAATGGTTAAGACTCTGTGCTTCCAATGCAGGGGGCCCCGGGTTCGATCCCCGGTTGGGGAACTGAGAATCCACATGCTGCGCAGCACGGCCAAAACCCAAAAATAAATAAATATTAATCTAAATTATTTATAATTATTAATAAATGTTATTAATTAAATTTATTTTATTCATAAACATCAATAGAATATTTTTAAAAATAAATTCCCATTAATCTAAATCATTAGTGAATTTTCTTTATAAAGGGAAAAATACCTTCCATTAATAATCACCAGAATTTTATGTATTTAAAAAATCGTTTGTTTTCTGATTTTGCAACGGATCCATACTCAAAACAATACGAAGTAAAAAAACAAATTCACCTGTAATCCCACCACACAGAGATAACCGTGCAGAGATAACTACTATAAATACTGACATTTGCCCATTTTGTACTTACTTTAATCAGTCATATGATTGCCTGGTTTACAAAAAATGGGATCAGACTGCTTGGTAGCTCATTACCGCCCCAGAGAAACATGCTTTCTATTGGTCCTGACATTTACTTTGTGGATGGACTCTGTTTCTGTTGCTGGTTATTGTGTTTCTAATTTATCGCTATTATAACAACACTTGAAAAAGCATCTGTTTATACAGTTTTCCACCCATCTCTTGATTATTTCTTTGGATAAATTCTGCAGTTAAAATGAATTCTGGGCTTCCCTGGTGGCGCAGTGGTTGGGAGTCCGCCTGCCGATGCAGGGGATGCGGG